CTACACTGACCACGCCTCAAATTTGGGTATAACCTATCATTCTCAGTCAATGGAAGGGTTAGGTGAGAAGATTAAGACTATTTATTAAGGAAAGGCACTGTATAACCATCAAGTTTTAATAGCATCTTGTCAGAAAATACTCTAGTTACCAGTTTAAATTTCTTCTCTGTGATAGAAATTCACAGAATAGAATTAGAGGGAAACGTGCAGAAATGACCTAAAGCATTTTGCACTCAGGGGGTGAACCTTAGCTTTTGCTGCATCCAGATGGAGACACCTTGATCATTATAATCAGCATGCTCCATTTGCTGCATTAAAAACAAGATAAATATTTAATCACAGTGCAATTAAGTCTGGATCAGTGCCATTAGTTTATAATGAATATATAGTTAGATAGAATCTAATACAGTACTAATTCACTTATGAGCCAGACTGAACAGATTATTTTTTTTTGAAAGCTGATAGTTTGAGAATGTTAATGAGATGAAGGTGTGTGTAACTGCTAATTATTTTTACTACTTTCATGCATTAACTAGAATAACATCTAGCAATCAATTAATACTATCAATATTCCATGTAAAATGTGAATGGTATTCTGCAATGCCTGTTCTTTTTCAGGTTAAAATAACTAAATAGCAAGCTGTAGTATAATAAATATTTGTTGATACAAAATTCATTAGTATCCTAACAGTAAAATAGAATCAACAGTGGCAAATTGCAAAAGGAAATCCTATGAAATATACAGATCTATAGGAGGTACTGTGGTTTATTTGTTTGTTTTTTTTTCTCCTTGTTTTACAAATATTCAAGTATACTGGGTGAGCAAGAATTTCTTATTATGCTTTAGAAGACTTGAAGGATAAGGTAGTTCAAAATATATCAAGTTTGACTTAATAGGTTTTAGTTAAGCTGAAAGACTCCTTTATTTTGTTTGAGCCATGTCATGATGCACCAGTGTAACAGGAGTTGGGCCCTAAAATGTTTAGATGTTTATGTAAATTTTGAACCCAGAATGACTTTTAAGGGGGAAAAAATGTATTAGTAAGAAAGAGCAAATACTGGACTACAATGTATTCATTCGTTACTGAAGATGCTTTGTACTTCTGTGGCAGAACGAGCACGTTGACTGGAAGAAACTATTTTCATGCTTACAGCCCCTTCTGGCAGAAGGTCAGTAGCATATCTGCTAGGAACACTCTTCAAATGTCCTCAAAACCATGCACTGCAAATCAGGCAGCTGAGATGTCGCTGTAGTTTCAAGTAGTGAAAAAACATGCTGTTCTTCAGACCCAGCTATGTCAAGGGTTTTGGGAAACGGTAGTTTTCTTCTAAATACAGGTGAAATCTACAAAATACTTGAGCAAAAGCATAGTCTTAACCACAGAGGTGGTGCACAGGCTTGGAGTGTGTGTAGTAGTGAGACCTGACTCCCTACGTGGCATTGCTGGAATGGATATGTCATACTTGTGTGTTTGAACCTATAGATAAGCTGAGACATATCTATTTTGGTATGATTTAATGATCCCCAGAACTCAGCAGATGAAGGATCATTTCTGTCAAGTTGTTAAAATTGTCTCTGAAGTATCACAACTCCCACACAGGCATGCGGCTGAGGGCATTCAAAACCAACCTCTGTGTCAGGTAAGCATTGCACAGTCGTATTACATTAATAGGCAAAGTAGTAAATGTGAGGAAGATCAGAGCCCCTCAAAAGCTTTTGTTATATTCCTACCCTTTTTGTGCAATAAAGCAGTTTTCTGTCAGAGCAAAAAAAAGCTGCATTTGAATACTCATTTGTGTGTCTCTGTGGAAGATGGTCTCTTTCAAATAGGATTATGTTCTATTTTGGATTTCTGTCTGCCGAACTTTGAAATCGTAAGGTCACACTTGAAGGGGCACATCTTTCAAAAACCCGTTTAATAGAGCGATGAGGATGAGGAAAGAAAAAGGTCAATATACTTCTGAAAAAGAAGTGGTCTCTCATTTGTGCATGTATAGATGGCATAAACATAATTTTTTACTGTATGGAAGAAATATACATATCATCATTGTCACCAATGAGTGGTTTAGGGTCACTCAAAGAATCACTGTCAAAGTTATCAGAAGAAATGGTTTTAATAAGAATTTATAAAAATGTGACTTAACAAAGTTCGATGGCAAGGTTCACTCCGTTACTTACTACATGAAAGGGACATACATAGGAAAATCAAGTTAGAATCAAGCTAGGCTGATTTACACAGAGACTGGAGATAAAAGGGGAAGGGGGAAGGGAGACCCTCCTGTTGAGTCACGAGGTTCAGAGTAGACCCTCTTGCTTTCTAAACTCCTTCAGCAAGGAGTGTAGGTGCGGCTGGACCTACCCCTAGTCCCAGACTTGGTCAACGATTTATGTCTGGGACATACCAGAAGTGAGGTATTTAGCAGTAGGATTTAGCAGTACTTTTTCATTTAGCAGCGCTTAATCATAGACTAATTTAACATCTACAAAGTAATTCAATACGATTTACTATGATCCTAACAATGACTTAAGTTGTTATAGGGTATTTGAATCAATTCACACATTCATGCACACAAATACAAAGGGAGAGATATATGTAGGTATAGAGATACATGTATAAAGGAATAAATGTATAAATATACCTGTTAGAAAAATTTCCCTTGAATTCAGTGAAATACTCATTTCAAATGCTTTGGCATCTCTCAGTGGGCAAGGGTTGAGTCTTGAGGAGTGAAGGATTTTTCACCCAGGCTTCATTGTCTGATTTCAGCAATGATCCTTTGAACTTCACCAACTTGAGAGTTTCATGAGCTCTGAGAGGTGTCCCACTCTGAGGGAAATGCTGGTCGCAGCCTGCTGCAGTCCAGGAGAGCTCAAAAGGTCTCGCTTTAGGACCGCTGTTTATAGGTTTGCAAGATGATTGACTTTAGTCATTAGTGAATTTCGATTCTGGCCATGATTCAAGTCGCTAATTGTTGGAGTTCTCAAAATTACAGTAGCAATGATACCATGTTTTGCTTGGGCTATGATTCAGATAAGGGAGGTACGGAAGCCTGTTTTGCTCAAGCAACAAAGCTGTTTTGCTTGAGATATGAGGCTGTTTTGCTTGACCTTCTAGCCTTGGCTAGGTGACAGAAGTTACCAGTACAGTCAATATATTCCATCCTTAGCTGTGAGAGAGTGTCTGGTATGGTCCAAGGGTGCTTAAGTTCCCAACTCATTGCATAAAGGCTGAAGGATGGATTTCTGAGATAGTAGCAAGGCCCAGAGTGGGCGGGAGGCAAATCCACCACTGCGATCATGGACCTCCTGGAGCAAGTCCAGACGAGGGCCGAGGAGATGATGAGAGGGATGGAGCACCTCTGCTATGAAGAAAGACTGAGAAAGTTGGAGTTGTTCAGCCTGGAGAAGAGAAGGCTCCGGGCAGACCCTAAAGCAACCTTCCAGTACCTAAAGGGGCCTACAAGAAAGCTGGGAGGAACTTTTTACAAAGGCGGGTAGTGATAGGACAAGGGACCATGGCTTTAAACTGGAAGAAGGAAGATTTAGATTAGGTATTAGCAAGGAATTGTTCACGGTGAGAGTGGTGAGCCACTGGCACAGGTTGCCCCAAGAAACTGTGGATGCGCCATCCATTCAAGACCAGGTTGGATGGGGCTTTGATCAACCTGGTCTGGTGGAAGGTGTCCCTGCCCGTGGCAGGGGGGTTGGAACTAGGTGGTCTTTAAGGTCCTTTCCAACCAAACCATTCTATGATTCTATGATTCTATGATACTTTTTAGAAAAGAATGTTGAATATAAAGATTCAGAGTTTAAGCTCACCTTAAATATTTGCAAGGTATCTAATGCAGATTTTTAATTATTCCCACTGCAGGATTCTTCAGCTTCCTTCTCAGCTTGCAGGAGCTGATGAGCAACAGGGATAGGGTCTTGGATTACCTGGATACTGAACCTAATTCAGTGGGATAATCCTTAACTTCTTCGTCATGGGAAGTTTCTGCCATTCGGCTAGCTCCAACAGGAAGGAGAGTAATTCTTCTCTTCCCATAAAGATGAAAGAAGTCATATGTGCCACTGGCTTCTTTTACACATATTTGTTTCAAAATATAAGAGCTCTTGCTAAGTGAGCTCTGTCACAGCTTATTTTGAAGATTTTGCTTTGACAGAGTAAGCATCTAAAGTATTATGTATTATCAAAACATAGGCGGGGGGAAGACTTCAAACTACAGATGTTAAAACTGTGTGAGAGATTTCTGATGAAGATTTCAATTTACCTGAGGAGGGAGGAAAGTCTATTTGACTGACATTAATGTAGAGCCAAGAGGGACTTAAGAAAAGCTAGTGGTATGAAGACAAGCAGCTAGAGAGTATTTTTCTTTTACAATGAAATGTAAAATCATTTGATACTTTTTATTAGTTTGATGATAACTCCAATATTTGTTTTGATGGGATTTAGAGCGTACTATATGATCAGAGTAACATTATCAATTAGTCCTACTTCAGTAATATTCCACAAAATAAGTGAAGCAATTAGCTTTTTAGCTAACAGTATCTTCATCTTGATGTACATGAAAGTCGATATCTGGTTTAGTATTTTTCATTGAAGTTGCATTATTTCTACATGAGAAGATGGATAGATAGATGCCATCAAAAGTGTTAACATTTGTATTGCACTGCTTTAATTTTACTTTTTAAAAATGTGATTGTTTGGCAAGTGTCACTTCATTGGAGTATATTTTTTTCTCTTACATTTTTCATACTCCTGGTTTAATATTGTCTTAGTAAGAAATGATGGCGTTTGATTCTTGATCCTTCCTGTTTCAGCACAGCAACGAGCATACGTAGGGAATCAGACTTTGATGAAGATAGGACTGATGTAGACTTCTTGTTTAAATACATCACCTGTAACTGCTTGGTGTTTCTGAGTGTCTTTCCCACCAAAGCAGCAGCAGATTTTATATTTAGCAAAAAATGCTTAAACTCTTCGGTAGAAGCAAGAGAAATGGCTTGTTTTACAGATGACTATCATCGAATTGGGGAGTGGTAAGGGAAAGGGTCATTGAGGGAGGGCTGGGTCGTTGTTTTTTCTTCCTGTTACAGTTGCTACTTCAACTACTTTCTGATTTCTTAGATTTTACTAAGCTAATGCTACACAACTCCACTGTTAGCCATGGTACTTCAAAGTTGGCCTTTGTCACATTTTTAAGTCCTAGGTAAAGATTTATCAGAAAAATGTCTGGTAAAGCATCTGTAGACTTCTTGATAATGCATCTCAGTGCATTGTACAAAATGTGTTCATTGTGTCTCTGAACATCTGAACAAGTGCCCTTTCAGACAGACTCTGTGTCTGTCCCTGATGAAGTTTGCATTCGCATTGCAAATGAGCTTGTGTATGGCTCTTGCTGTCCTCAGCTGGGTGCGGAGTGCGAAGGCTGCAGTGCTTCATCAGCAATGCACTGAAAACATAATATTTTTCTTTTTTTTTTTTCTTTTAAATTTGGGTATATCCTGGACAGCAGTTAGTGTCATACCTCACATGTGCAAGTACAAAGCTAAGCAGATGAAAAACCTTTGCAGAGACTAGAGTTAGTCTAGCAACAGAGTAACTCTACCACTCACTTCTCAGAATGACACTCTGTGGGCATCAGGTCATCAGAATCAGCCCTTTTGCTCTTCAGATACCTTCCCATTGCTATGTGTAAATTACTTATGGATATACAACCATCTGTAGTAAAAATAAATAATTGAAATGAGAATAATCAGAATTTTAGGGAATGACATCACATACATGTATTTAAATGTACTTTACAATTGTCAATGTTTCTACACTTTTTTGTTTGTTTATTTATTTGGTTTTTTCCTCAAAAATGGAAGACCTTATGAAAAAAAGAAACTCAAAATAGGACTAGGTATTTTTAAAAACACATTTCCTCAAGACTGTCAGGGGAAAAATGTAGAAAGCTATTTGAACACTTCTTTCTGTTACTTCAAAAGGATTTGAATATCCTACAAGGCAAAATGAAGTAACAGTTTTCCTAAATAGGCTAATTCACTCTTTGTATATATTATCATTGTCAAAAATTACATTCTTGTTGGTGGAGTGCTGCTCTCCTTGCTTCCCTGGCTTTTCTTGCTATAGACAAAACTAATGGTTTCTCTCAAATACGTAATTACCACTTCAGTATTGCATTATGGAAGATTTTATTTTTATGAAGTTTTAATGGACTGTACTTGTCAAAGAAGAAAACAGATAACATGGTTCTGCCTTGAGTCTCTTTGCAACTCTACTGAGAATGCATTTGTTTGATTCATCCATCTGTAAAATCTCAGAGATTTTAGTAAAAGCATCTAAAAAATTCAATGCTGCTATACTTTAAGTTAACTTCCAATATTTTTTCAAAAACAACATGGGATTTCAATTGAATAACAGAATGATGTATTTTGGACTATACTTATTATGTAGGCTAATACCCTTGGAACTGCACAATGAAGGACTCAAAAGAGCAGCAAAATGAATAGATGTATTACTTTGAGTGTACAATTAATCTTGTTGGCATTATTTTATGTGAACATGGATAAAAATGCCTGGAAAGCATACCATTGAATTCCACTGCTCATTAATATTGATCAAATAATGTTGTTCTCTTTGTGTTGGAAGCCACTTAAAGATTACCTGCAAAAGTATTACAGTGCTATTGATTTAAAAAAAACAAATCCCTGGAGTCCACTGTTTTTTGAAAATTAGTTGACAGTTTTTGTTTGTGGTTTTTTTTTTTTTTGTAAAGAAGTATGTTCTTGAACTTGCTGCTGTAGATCTGAGTAACTAAGAATATTAATCAGATTGTCAGGGAATTAATTATCCAACATTCAATAAAATGTTATTTAAAAGCCTATACATCCCTGTGGAAGTTAGTTGGGACATCTCATCATCTTGCAGCAGTGCCTAGACCTTACATACTAGTTTTGATGCTTAAATAGAATGATGGCAGGATTAGGGCCCAGACGCTTCAAGACAGTCAAACCTGCATAACTTGCATCAGAGATCTGTAGACTCAGTAAAAAAAAAGAATCATATGCTTGAAGATTCATGCAATTCAAATATCTTGAAGTTGTGTGAATGCACAGTATGGTCCTCTAGAGAATCAGGAGAAACAAGGTATGATGATAGGCTTTTTAAGGTTTCAATCATTCATTCTTTTAGAACGCAGATTAGTCTAATCCATGTCCTTTTTAGGAAATGAATAATAACTAGTGAAAATTAGATTACTGTTTCAGTGCATTTAATTAGGATGTGTCATTGCTGTCAAAATAATTTTTGAACTACCATTTTCTATTAAAAAAACCCAAACAAACAAAATTACATTTAGATTGAAAATACTGCTATTGTATGCCTATGACCAAATAACAACTATAATCAGGAAAAAAAATCTGTCCATATTGTTGGTGTGGGGTTTTTTTCGCAGTAGGAAGACATCATAGAAGACTATTAGTTAGAAATACTGGCATGCACCAGTATATTTATTACTGTACACCTCAAATGACCTTTTAAGCCTTTGTACTTTGGACTGATCTGAGAAAATGTAAAATCTAAAGAAAATCAATGAAAGTATGCTGAACATGTGCTTAACAAGCCATATGGAGAAAGCAGCAAGCAAAATGAGAAAGTAATTATTAAAAGATGCATTGTTCTTGGAAGATTAGAGATCCACTTGCATAGAAATAATTAACATATGAGGCTACCGGCAGGTACTCCCCAAACTGCAGCACTATGATAAAGACTTGAAAAAAATTACACAGCTCATATTCGTTGGGAGACCAAAAGTGCAAATTATTAAACATTTTTCTTTCCAAAATAGTACAGAAGAGAAATAACATGAACTGAAGCTGTGATACTTGAAAACCGTGAGTCTTCCCATACGGCTTCCTATAAGGAGTGATATATGTTGTCTGGAATTAAGAATGTAGTGTACCATTACTTTCAAAGTCTAATGCAGAATGTGGATGGGGAAAGGCAGAAAAGGCAACAGCCAGTCTCTTCCTTTTCATCTTCATGATTTTTGCCTTATTTTACTACTAATTGGATTTAGAGTAAGCTGCTATATATTCATGTCTTATATTTTGGGGGTTCAGTGAGCCATATCCCATGTTTAATGGCATACACAAGTGTAACTTCTGCAGCATTGTGTCCTGGAATAGGCTGATGACATAAATTGTGATAGAAATGTGTACATGGATAGTTTATCAAATTGCTGTTACCACCTGGGCAATTATAACTGGGGAATGTGTTCTGACATCCTTGTAATTCTGTTAATTTTTATCTTTTGCAAATTAATATTTTCTTAGAGACTACAATTTTCACTACTGTGACTTTCAAAATGAATGCTGTTGCTGTGATCATCTGTCAAACCTTGGGTTTGTAATTGAAAACATAAACTAATAGACAGATCCTCAGAAACATTAAACTTACAGCTCTTTTAAGTTTAAATCATTTAATTCCCAGTGCTGATTGTCAGTAAATTATGCTGTGGAAAGAAGTTCTTTTCTGGTTTGTTGGGGGTTTTTTTAGATGCAGTTTTAAATGGGTGAATAATTACGACATTGCATTTCAATAAGTGAAGATTAACACCTTTTGGTGTGCATGGGAAAGGTTGTAAATAACATACTTTATATTGAAATCACAGATCTTTTCACACACAAACTTGTACATGAGACTTTCCAATCAATGATTAACAGTTCTTTAAATTGAGATTGGAAAAAAAATTCATCAAAATGCTAAAGTGTTTTCTTCTGGTAGAGGTAAGTTACAGGTAGTATTAATAAGATAACAGGATGTAGATGGCTTTTAACATGTGCTGTTAAATGAATAAACTTTTGACCTTAGTTCAAAAGATGCTGTTATTTAAAGGTACGTGTAGTCATTGCAAACTTAACAAATTAGATCTTACTGCTGAAATTTTAAGTATCCTAGCATGTTGTTACTTGGAGAAAAAAAAAATTTAATCAGAAGACCTTTTTGAAATCATCTTGAAGTGGATATCCTAAAGAGGCAGTCATTGGAAAAGGAATAGTTGGTCTAGCAGCTGCTAACTGGTGGCCCAGATGATAGTCACGTATTCATAAAGTCACCCAAAGCCATAGCAAAAATCTCCTCAAACCTCTAACTTGACATGTAGTGATTATTCAAGGATATTGTAGATGTCACTGTCTATGTGATAGGCACATTTGATTAATATATATTTCCTCAGTGGTATAAAAGTTAGAATGCCTGTTATCTTTAATAGGAGAACAAGAATTAGCTTCTCTGTCTCCTGTCTTCTCTTACATTAAAAAATAATGTTGTGATTAATGAGTAGTGACATGCTTCATATTTTTTCTTGTTCATAAAAATCGGTGCTGGCAAGTTGTCTGAACTAAATGAAAGGTATATTTTAGTGGGTTAGTGGAATATGAAGGTCTACATAAGTGATTTTAATTCTTTAATGAATGCTTATAAATGACTGAAATTATTATGGATGTCATTATGTATGTATGTATACTTCTCTTTTTTTCCCCTCTCTCAGGACCCTGCCTTCCTAATCCATGTCATAATGGTGGGATATGTGAAATTAGTGAAGCGTACCGAGGTGACACATTCATAGGATATGTTTGTAAATGTCCAGAGGGATTTAATGGGATTCACTGCCAGCACAGTAAGTTCCACATGGTAACTTTTATTGTATTTATAGATAGAACACTTTTTATTGCTTGCCATGTTGAGGATTAATACTGGATCTGGTTTTCTGAAGTACATCAGTCTTTGACCTTTATATTATGAGCAAACTAATACCTCTGAATACTACTACAGCCCACAGAAAATGAGCTTACTACCAACTTGTGGACACAACAGTACGTAATTTGGTACACATATTGTAGAGCACGGTAATGAAAGGTAACCACATTTAGCATAGATTTAATGGAAAAGCATATTTGAAATAGTAGGGATGGATTCTTAACTTGGAATTCTTTGGGGGTTTGTTTTGATCAATGCTAGACAAAAGTGGAAAGAATAACCGAAAAGAAATTTGTGAATAAACAGGTCTTCTAGATCTTTCTTTACCTGTGCATTTATAAATTATGAAGAAATGTTTTGAATCACAATACTTAAATTCAAGGGTAGAAGTTCCAGACCTAAATCAGATGTACACTTAATCCTGTTTAAAATAAAGTATCTGGACCTCTTTCTAATAATTATCATTTATTTGAAGAGTTTTGCCTGGTTTCAGGTCAGGTGGGGAACAGGTCAGTATCCTAGTCTTAGAGTATGTAAAGAACTGAAAAATAGCCATATGGAAAAAAAAAACATCCTGAGATTTCAATAATATCTCATGGGGGGATTATATAGTAAGAGCTACACTTCACCAACCAAAAATTTTAAGAAGTAAATAGATGTTGCATTTTTTGTGCTCATACTGAAAATTACAATGTTTCTTCAAGTCCATGTTTCTCCAATTAACGTCATCAGAAGTTCTGTGTGATCAAAGCCAATTAATAAGAGCTATGCATGTTCATCTGCAAGTGACTGATCAGATCATGTTCTAACCGATAAACTTAATCTACATTATCTATTTGTCACTTAAATAGAAGCTGGTTTTTTTTCATATGTAAAACTCATTTAGAGCAAGTACTTACAGAAGGAGAAACTGGTGTGCCAAGTTTGTGTTTTATTTTGTGCGATAAAACACAGCATGGTTCTTATAATCTCATGTTATTCACGCATTTAGAAGCCAAATGTTACCCAGTTAGAAGGTTAAAAACTCAAAAAGTCAAGAATCCAGTTCCATTTGCACATAGCCACTCATTCAAATAAGAGTGAATAAGCACTGAATCCAGTCTACCTTAATTAAGTGCTCCATTTAGATACTTGTCTATAATTTGAAGTGTCAGGAACCAATACAGTTTAGCTCAAATAACTACTTATGTTCATTATGTCCCTTATATACTCAATGGAAAGTGTCTCCAAAGACCTGAATGTGGATATTCAATTTCATTAACTTTGGCCACATTCTCTTTCTCAGCTAATTACGTAGGTAATGTAGGCAGTCCCACTAACTTAATCTAGTTAAATTATGTGTCTAGCTCTACCACTGGGAACATGGAAATGTTGGATATTATCCACTCCTTTGGGATCTGTTCTGTCTGGCCCTGATTATGGGAACAGCCATCTAGTGGAGATGACTGCCAGCGACAGTCATACTGACTTTCTTTTGGTTTAATGGTCATAGTCATTAGAGCACTCAGTCAAGACAGGGGACTGAGTTCATCATCTAATTGTGATGGCAGTTGTTGCCAGCCTTTAAACCATATAGCCATGAGTTCCAGAGTCTCAAGGCCAAAAAATCAGGCAAGATTATGTCTTGCTCTAACTTCAAGTGTTTTCCAGCTTAAAAATTGTACCTGGGGTAAATTGTGAGCGTAGCATCTTGTGGTTCCCACCCCTGTTCCCTGTACTTGCATGCATTTTACATGAGTCTGCCACCTGATAGGTGAAGCAAAAGTCATTGGATACTGGAAAGACAGGAAGCTGTACCTTCATCCCTGTGACTGCTGTGAGGGTACAGGCAGACCACTTCTGTATGCCGTTGATGTCCAGTCACATGGAGGAGCTCATGAAAACATCCTCATGTGGCCTGACGTTCTCAGGCACACTCCATCATGAGATTAATCACGTAGTCAACATGTGATGCACAACACTTCTTCCATTAAATGTCAAAAGAGGTGACCTTTGTTAAGGATGCAAGAAAGCGAATAACACCACAAATTTTCATCAGGCAAAATGCATGTTGAACATGTGCTGTCTGGAAAATATCATCTCTTGTTTCCTAATTAATGGAAAAAACACAACAGTAGTGCATTATGGAGTGATTCGTCATAGTTGTTTGCTGGGTCCACAGTATCCTTTTAAAAATACACAGATATGTAACAGTTAGCTAATGATCCTGATGATCAGCGAAGAGTCTTTATACCAACTTCAGAATAAAGTAGAGCTCTCACACAGGTGATTCAGATTCACTGTGGGGAGACTAGAACCCAAGAAGTCAGCTAAGGTGATTTGAGATAACACAAGTTTATGTGAACAGTTACTCTTTGGGGGAGAATGAAATTCAATCCTTTTCAGATAATCTAATTTAAGATGTGATAATAAATCATACACAAAATATAAGTGTTCAGAGGATCTCTAAGGATGTAAACTATGAAGGGCAGTGGAGGAGGTCTCTGCAATCTGCAGTATGGGACTTCAGTGGTTAACTTAATATAACTCTTTTATATGATAACCCTTTAGTTCAATTCACAAAGTTCCTTTGATACAAATTCCTCTGCTTCATAAAGTTTAGCAATTCAATTCTGAACTCACTGTAAATCAAGTAAGAGGTCTGTCAAAGTAATTCCATCATAAAAATGTAAATTAAAATGACCTCATTACAAGACACATATCTTCATCTAAACTGTTAAGATTTCCAAAAATCACATTATACTTCTCTTGTACAAGGTTTTTTATCTTGGTTTTCTTTCATTTGTAATAATCTGTTGCTAAATCAGCTACGCTAGGTGATTGATTTTGAAGTTGAGATACATTCCCAAAGCTGGTATTCTGTCATTCATGTCAACAAACATCCTGTCAATATTTCTGAGATTCCTTGACATTTACCTGTGCAAATAATTAATATGTAGATTATAAAAGAGATCATTAGCATTTTCACAGATAGTATATTCTAGATTTATTGCAAAACTTATATTAATTGGTGATGTTTGTCTGAAAAGATTCTGATTCCCCAGTGGCAAAAAAGGAAACAAAGTTTCCCATTTCAGGGTTCATAATCTAACCAATGTTTGGATAAGAAAGTCTACCTCATGTAGAATCCTGGGCAGATTTTTGTGGTGATACCCAAGAACAATATGTTCTTTAAATATTCCTCCCCATTATTTAAGAGGCATTTACTTGTCTCCTTGGTATGAAGATTCTTCCCGAACCCTCTCCATGTTGCAATTTGTCATGCTGTTAATATATGGCAATCTGGCTCTCAAATTGCTATTGACAGTACCTAGCAATAAGGAGAGAGGAGTTGTTTGCAAGAACTATGTTGAGGCAAGGCAAGTCTGCCTTTAGCCTTACTACACTGAGAAAGCAGCTTTTCCAGAGAGTAAATTAGAGCACTTAAATTCCTGAAAATAGCATACAACTCATGCCCAGGAAAACTAAGGCACTCTATGGCAGTGATGCTCATTCGTAAGAGCAGCAAATAACTTTGATTCTTCAGGATCACTTTGACTGAAGCCTATGTAAATACATGGCCTTGTCATTCACCAGAAAGAACCATGTAATCATTGGGTGCATTATAATTCCCTTTTCTTTACCCATGGACTTCAAGAAAGTCAATCTTCTGGGATCTTTCTGGCTTTTATTGAAAAAGGCCTACTGCTGTTCATGAACCAGCATCTGTTGTTTCACCATTGTCAACCTCACTAATCGTTCCTCGTACAACAGATGAAGATGCTGGATAAATACTCGCTGTTCAGATAGCTAATGTCTTCATCTACATATAGAGGGATTTTACCGTCATCTATTAAAACAGCCTAGAAATACGATTCTGCAGAACAAGTCAAAATCTGTGGAAATACCCAAAAGACTGAAATGGACAGTCTTTCCACCAAATAAAAAATTCCATAACATTGAGAGCTGTGTAAAATATGCATTATTGTGGTTATCAGATCTAGATTGCCTGTTGGAAAAATAGGAAACCGAAGCATTGGTAACAATGTATGTCAAAGTGTGGGTTACTGGCTGCCGCTCAGCTAACTGAAATGACACAGAGATTCAACCAGAAAAGTCAAGTTTGAAACAATAAGGAGCTCAGATTTAAGGGTTTGATTTGGATGTGGTTTTACATTCTGAGGATCCTTAATTCTGTCAGCCATAACTGAATGCCTTGCACTCCAAGAAGAATAAACGTTATTAACCAAACACATTAATAAAGTAAGCAAGCCCTTCCCAGTGTTTGTACAGAGTTCTTTGCATAATCTACATCTTCAGCTCTACCAGCAAATTCAAATCCTAGTAACTTTTCCAGCTGTTAATAAAAAATACCTGTCAGGAAGCTATAGAACATCCTGTAGCATGGATTTTGTGTGTTACAATGAGCAAGTACTCTTGCTACACCATTCCTGGCTGCAGTTTGGTGGTAGAGCACTCCAGAAACCATTTCCCCACAGGTGGTTTTCATGCAACTGTCTTGTTTTGGAGGCTAATACCACTTGTATCTCGCACAGATGCAGCTTGTTTCCAAGCCAGCCACCCCCCTCGTCAAGTGGGCAAATTTAATGTTTTAGAGTACATGCAGTTGAACCATACCAGATGTTCATCCTATACTTCTGCTGAGAAACACTCAGTATGGTTTCTTTTTTGGGTAGAAATAATTTTTTGGAGGGTTCTAAATCTTGCCCTGGTGTTCCTTTTTATTATGAGGAGGCATATAATTTTCATTGAAATTAGCTATATGCATAGTTTTAACAAATTATACTTGCCATAGTTTATATAATGCAGTAGTAATGAGCTATATAGTATAGTAGTAGTAAGTCACACATATAAGTATGTCTTAGGGAGCTTATACATCTAAGCATTGTTGAGCTGAAGTCTGAAAACTATTCTTGTGTC